AGGGATGAGTCTAGATGCTTTGGTCACCCACCTGGGCAACTGATGCCTAGCTAGATTTACTGGACCAAATGGTGCTAATGACAGTATAATTTCAAGTTACTATTTATCCCTTAGAGAGGCATATATATGCCTGACAATTGCATATCTTTCTTGAGGCCTGGCCTTCCTCAAATGTGTCTCCAGCCAAAATTCTGGTGTCTTTATTTTTGTGCTAACTTCCTTGAGAGCCCAGTCTCTCTCTACTTGTATATTAATTTTGATATAACTTAGCTGCCTATGATAAGACCATTAAAAGCATCCCATAAAACCTGTCCCTTTGCTTCATTAATGGGACAATCTGATGCTCTTTATTGGAGTGTGCCTGCCCCCTGTCCTTTTCTATTTTCTTACTTTTCAGTTAAAGTTTTTGCCTATAAACTCAAGTGTTGCTTTAGTTTTAATTTCCATTATCACTAAGTCAAGGAGTCATGCTAGTTGGTAACATCAGCTTCCCTTTCAAGCCATTTAGCAGCATAGGAAATATGGAAAATGAAGCTTGGTGAGGTCAGTGGGTTAAGGGATTAGGCACTAGGCACTAGGACTGCTCGCATCAGTGAAACTGATACAGGGATAATATAGGACCTCTAAATGATAGGAGAAATATAATTTTAACCTGTTAGCTGTCTGATACTCTGAGTAATGCATTCTCTAAAATCGAAGAATGAATGTTAGGAACAATGGAGGTTAAGAGTAGGAAATGTTAAAAAAAAAAAGATGTGAACATTTAAATTATGAAAAAAAAGTAGGAAATATTTATTGAGCGGGTAGCTCTTGAAAGGCAGGCGGGGGTCCCAAATGGGTTGCCGAGGACCCCACTTTTCAGAGGACGTTTTATAGAGTAAAACCCATGTTGGTACAATGTGGGTTAAAACTATGAAAAACCAATAAGGTTATGAGGATAATTGCTTAGGTAATAGCAATTAGGTTTTCCAATGGGGAAACAAGTCACGTAACAAGGGAGCATGGAAAGAATAAAGACTTTTTCTAGAAAATGATGGGTTCAGAGATCTTGGTCATCCACTAGGGTGACTGATGTCTACATAGACTTCATTACCCAGTGTTTGTCTTTTGAGGAAGTATGGTCATTTCCTTGTTATCTTGAGGCCCATTCTCCGGTAGATGTATCTATGGCCACAGTTGTGATGTGTTTCACCTTTTTCCTGACTCTTGAGGGCCTAGCCCTATCTGACTACCTGTAAGTTAGAAAGAATTCTAACTTAGCTGTCTATAATAACCTCTTGCAATCTTTTTTTTTTTTTTTTTGTACCAGGGATTGAACTCCGGCCCTTGCCACTTGTGAGGCAGGTGCCGGAACCACTGAACTAAATCCCCCACCCCAATCTTTTGTTTTAATTAAAGCCTCTGGAGAAAATCTGGCAGCAGTTAGAAAATAAAGGGACATTTTAATAGCCTTTCAGGTAATTGTTGCTATTTTTTAATTTTATTAACCCCCCCAAATTTATAACAACAATTATGACAATAGTTAATACACTATGTATTATTATTATCAAATTAGCTACTCAGAGTACAAGACATAAACCAAAAGGATGCTTACAAAAAAGAAACACGATAAAACTTTCTTTGCTATAAGGACAGGTGGCACTGTAGATAGGGAAAAGATAGGATAAAGGCCTCATTGAACATTAAGGTCAACAGGGAAATTTACTAAAAGCAGTTCTTGCCCTCCACAAGTAAACTCTGCTGTTAGAATAAATAGAAAGACAAAGGAGGGAAGAGCTAGCTAGACTTGGGAGTGGCACCAGGCAACACAGTTATCAGGAAAACCAGCTCCCCTCACCCACCTAATAAAATGCAAAGGCATTAAGCCACCTAAGGACTCTTATTTGATATGTAAGACATGTGCACACGTGTGTGCAAACACACACAGACCTATGCATATACACATGTATGTTCTCACTTTGACATCAGTATAATATTGCATCAGATACGCACATGTATATGTCTTCCCTTTTTAATTTATTCATTAAGTAAGCTGCCTTTCCCTTCATTTATTCATTACAAAGCAAAACCAAATTGCCTAGGATCAAATGGCCTCAGTTAGGATCAAAGACAGTCAGGGAAACAGATCAGATTTGGACAAGTGCCCACATGGGGGATGGGAAAGATACTAGTCCCCAGTAAAAGGAGCCAGGGATAAGAACTCATGGGTTTTCAGCTCTGAAGCCTCCTACTACCTCATGGTAGCTGTCTATTGTCTTTCTTTTCCATCTTTTTTCCCCAAATAAACTGTCATCTGTTATTCTAAAGTTTTCCTTTTTTTAGTTCTTTACTGGTACTGGGCATAGGATCACAGAGAGCTGCATTTTCAGTAGAGCAGTGGTGTGGCATAACATGATTTGGTGAGTTGTCCACCCCTGGATATAACTGTATGCTTACTATTTGCTGATACACAAAATCTGAAGATATTCAAATTCCTTATATAAAATAATAGAGTATTTGCATGTAATCTCAAGTATTGTGGTTTACTCTCACAAAGCCTAGAGAATGGTGTTGTTATTATAGACAGCTAAATTAGGTAGAAATATTGTAGGCAGCCAGACAGGGGTAGGCCCTTGGGGAAGCCAGTACAGAGGATAAAAACATTAAAACTGTGGCCAGAGGTACATCTGTTGGAAGCCAGGCCTCAAGATATACACAAAATGACCTGGCCTGTATGCCTCCCTCAGAGATAAACAATAATTTAACATTAACATCAGTCATCCTAGTAGGTAACCAAGATCCCCTGATTCATCCTTTTCTAAAAAGGTCCTTGTTCTTTACAGGTACAATGAACCCTTGAGTTATGACCAGTCTCATATGAACAACGTGGATTACAACCAGGATTTTAAGTTTTAATTTACAACAAAATTCTTGAGTCATGACCTGAATGCTGGCCACATGTGCAGTTGTAAACAAAGACTGGCAATGTCAGAAAAGCATATGTAAGCATATGTAAGTTTAGTCTGAGCCCAGATACTGTTTTTGTGGGTGTGATTTTGGTCAATGCGTTATATAATCACTATGATTACTGCTATCAAAGTGGACCCCCAAAAGCTAGAAAATAAGAAGCTAAGAAAGGAAGGGAAGGTAAAGAAAGCAATCACAATTGAAAAGAAGAAGGAAATTGTGGAGAAATATGAGAGTGGTGTTCGTGTGACTGATCTTGCTAATATGTACAGCATGTCAAAATCCACCATCTCAACAATCTTACAGAGAAAAGATTTGTATAAGGAAGGTAGTGTTGCTAAAGGTGTTACTCAAATTAGTAAGTCACGATCAACAGTGTTAGATGAGGTAGAAAGACTATTATTAGTGTGGATAAATGAAAGACAGATGGCAGGTTATAGCCTATCTGAATCTATAATTTGTGAAAAAGCTAGGGCTATAAATGCAGATCTTGTAAAGGACAATCCATCAATGAGTGATAATGCTGAAACATTTTGTGCCAGTAAAGGGTGGTTTCACAATTTCAAAGCGAGGACTAGGGCTCATAGCGTAACTAGGCATGATGAAGCAGCCAGTGCTAATAAAAAGGTTGCTGAAAATTACATACACTACTTTGAAATGATGACACAGAGAAATGGCTTTTGCTCTCATCAAGTTCAATTGTGTAAAGGTTGCTGAAAATTACATACACTACTTTGAAATGATGACACAGAGAAATGGCTTTTGCTCTCATCAAGTTTTCAATTGTGATGAAACTGGCCTTTTCTGGAAGAAAATGCCCAGGAGAACATATATTACCCAGGAAGAGAAGAAAATGCCAGGCCACAAGCCTATGAAGGATAGGCTAACCTTATTGCTATGTGCCAATGCGAGTGGTGACCTCAAGATAAAGCCTCTCTTAGTTTATCATTCTGAGACCCCGAAAGTGTTCAGAAAACATAAAGTCATGAAGAATAGGTTAGGAGTCATGTGGAGATCTAACGCAAAAGCCTGGTTATCAACAGTACTTTTTCTTGAGTGGATCAGGGAGGTCTTTTGTCCTACTGTTAAGAAATATCTAGAGGACAAAGGTTTACCACTCAAGGCTCTCCTTATCATGGACAATGCTCCTGCTCACCCACGAGATTTGGAAGAAGAATTGGCTGAAGAATTCCCATGGCTCTCAGTCGAGTTCCTCCCACCTAGTACAACTCCTCTACTGCAGCCTATGGACCAGCAGATTACACTTAACTTTAAGAAGCTATATACCAAGGAGCTGTTCCTGAAGTGCTTCCAGATGGTCTCAGATACAGATTTAACCCTTAAAGAGTTCTGGAATGAACATTACAACATCCTTTCCTGTGTGGGGTTAATTGAGAAATCCTGGGCCAATGTCTCTCTAAGGACTTTGAGATCTGCCTGGAAGAAAGTGTGGCCTAAAATTATACAGGAGAGAGACTTTGAAGGCTGTGTAGAGGAGTCTGAGCCTTCAATTGACCCTGTGATTGATGACATTGTCACTATAGCAGAGTCCATAGGTTTGCAGGTAGACAGTGGTGATGTTGAGGAACTGGTGGAGGGACATTCAGAGGAACTGACTACAGAGGAACTTCAGCAACTTTTGGCTGAGCAACAGAGAATGGCAGCTGAGGAGCTTTTTGAAGAGGAAGGGGAGTATCAACAATCAGTGCAGCAAAGTTCTTCTGAAATAAAGGAAATCCTGAAAAAATGGACAGAGCTACAAACATTTGTAGAGAAGACCCACCCCGACAGAGAAAAGGCCAATCATTGCATTCACTTGGTAAATGACAATGTCATGTCATACTACAGAGCAGTGTTAAAGAAAAGACAGAAACAGACAAACTTAGACCAGTTTTCAGTTCTGAAAAGATTGAGACCCAGTAAGCCTGAAGCAGGTCCTAGTGGGCTACAGACTCTCCCAAGGAGAGAAAGAAGACTAGAGAGCCAGATTCCTGATGTTATGGAAGAGAACTTTCCTTCCAAACAATAACTGCCTTCATTTCATCCTCCCTTCCTGCAAGCCAAAGAGGTCAACTTGAATGGTAAGTATAGTATGACATTATAGTCTCTGGTAAATTAAGCATATTTTATAACTTTTTGGTGAATACACTGGGAAAGTTATTGGTGTTTCTAGTAAATTATGTACATTATACAACTCCTTTTCATTATGAAAAAGTTAGTTAATGGATGCTTTGGGAGATTTGGAATACATAGGTATTTCCATTATTATCGGAAAAATAGTCTTGACTTACAATCAACTTGAGTTACAAACAGCTCTTGTGAATGAATTGACTTTGTAAATCAAGTGTCCACTGTACACTTGCTACATGACCTCCTTCCCCTTTGGATTAATATTACCTAAGTGGCTAAACTTGTAATCTTATTTGTTGATCATAGTTTTGTCCTGCATTGTACCCACCTTGTAATTTTTCATCCACCTCATTATTTTGAACCCACCTTGTGATTTTGCTCTATAAAACTTCCTCTGTAAAGTGGGGTCTATAGCAACCCATTTTTTGGGTCCCCTCCTTTCTCTCGTTAGCTGTCTCTCTCTTCCTCAATAAATATATTTTATTATTAAACTCGATTGTTCCCTAGAATTCATTCTTTGGTTTTGGGGAACACGAACTTGGAGTATTGGACATCTACCAGGTTGGTAATTACATTTGTTTCCCTTATATTATGTCACAGGCCTTAAGGCAAATTAACTACTTAAGCAAAAACAGCCCTAGAATTTCCTGAAAGTTCCTGATGAACACATATGTTGACATTTCCTCACCCTTTTCGAGTTATTATAGACACATGAATGACTCCTTGCCAAGCTAATTGGGAAGCTGTCTGTGAATACCGAATTTAGTAGCCATACTTTTTTTGCTGTTGTTCTTTTATTGTTTATTGGTACATTTTAGGTATACAGTACAATTACATTCATTATTGGGATCTTGTACCTTTACACGACAGGTCTTGGTTCTCATTTTTTCCCCTTTGTCCCTGCCCTCCCTTCACCCCCGTTTACAAACACTTTGTTTCCATTTTCTCATATTTTTTTCTTTTCCCTTATTAGCTTTCCCCTACCCTTCCCACTTTCCCTACTCCTTTAGCCCTTTTCTTCCTATTTCACACGGTCAATTATCTCATTAGGATCTTATGTACTATTATAGTTTTTCACACCAGAGAAACTATTTGGTATTTACACATGTGTGACTTATTTATTTCACTTAGGAGTATGTCCTCAATATGTATCCATTTTCCTATGAATGAATCTAATTTCTCATTCTTTATGGCTGAGTAGTATTCCATTTTATAGAAAAACCACATCTTCTATATCCAGTTTCCAACTGATGGGCAAATGGGCTGTTTCCATGTTTTAGCTATTACAAATTATGCTGCTATAAACATAGGCAAGCATATATATCACTGTGGTATGATTCTTTTATTTTGGAAAGATACCCAGCAGAGGGATTGCTGGGTTAAATGGAACCTCTAGTCCCAGCTCTTTGAGGTATCTCCATATTGATTTCCCTAGTGGTTGAACCAGTCTGCCCTCCCACCAACAATAGAGAAGGGTTCCTTTCTTCCCACAACCCCGCCAACATTTGTTATTGGTTGATTTCTTGATAGCAGCCATTTTTTGTAGGGTGAGGTGGAATCTCAGTGTTGTTTTCATCTGCATCTCTTGAAAGACCAGTGATGTGGAACATTTTTTCCTATCTTTACTTGCTGCTTTTACTTCTTTTTCTGAGAAATGTCTGTTCATTTCAGATGCCCATTTTTGAATCAGGTCTTTATATTTGGGTGGGGCTGATTGTTTTGAGTTCTTTATATATTCTAGATAATAGTCCTTTGTCTGAGGAACAGCTGGTAAAATTTTTTTCCACATTGTAGGTTGTCTCTTAGTTCTGCTGATGGTTTCTTTTGTAGTACAGAAGCTTTTTAATAAGATGAGATCCCAGTTGTTGATTCTTTCTGCTAGTTGCCATGCTACTGAGGATTTGTTCATAAAGTCTTTTCTGTTTTTAGGACCTCTGCCCTTTCAGTCATCTGCCTGCTTCCTTATCAACGTGGTAGGCTTCCATTAATTCAAATAAAACCTTTAAAACAGTGCCTGTGGATTTAAAATGCCAGAATGTAGAGAGAAGAATGTTGTGGCAGTAATATAAGACAGCGTATATTTTAACATACTTGAAAACATTTTTTAAGATATGGAATGATCTTATGTAAGAGACCATTTTATACTGTTTTTCAAAAGAAAAATCGGTGGATGAAAATATTTCATAACTATAGATGAAAAAACTAGGAGATACTCAGGGTTTTTTGTTTTTTTGTTTTTTTTTGTTTTTTTGAGATAGGGTCTCACTTGTACTTCAGGCTGGTGGTCCAGGCTGTCCTGGAACTCACAGCAATCCTCCTGCCTCAGCCTCCTGGTTTGTTGGCAAGATATTCATTTTTTTGTTTTTGTTTTTGTTTTTGTTTTTGGTGCTGGGGATCGAACTCCTGACCTTGTGCTTGTGAGGCAGGCAGCAGGACCACTGAGCTAAATCACCAGTCCAGTTATTTGCTTTTTAAAGGCAATCTCTTCTTCAAAGTACCATATATCAGTGGACATAGGAAGCCCTCTTCAAAGGGATCACTATGTGTCCTTTTTCTATGGAAATTCCACACAACTGTGCCTTCGCTACTGAGCACCAAACAAAAGACAAAGTCTGGCCTCAAGTAGAGGTCAGACTTCTTATGTAAAGAGCCAGATAGTCGGACTGGGGATTTAGCTCAGTGGTCCTGCTGCCTGCCTTGCAAGCGCAAGATCCCGAGTTCAATCCCCAGTACCAAAAAAAAAAGAGCCAGATAGTAAACATTTTAGGTCTCTGTCACACTTATTCATATCTGTCATTATAGCAAATTACAACCATACACCATATGCAAACAAATAGACCCGATAACAGGTGGCAAACTGAACTTGGTCATAGTTTTCTGGAATGTGAAGGGAAATTTAGCATGGGGGAATCAAATCTACCTATTTTCCTCACAGAAATGCCCCCCAAATTCCATTACAGATCCCAGAGCATGCATCTTGCTCAGAGGATATGAACTAATTTGTGCTGACCTAATAAATGGCAAATTTAATATTTTTGCTAAAACATACTATTTGCTAAGAGCTTAATGTGTTATTCTTTCCAGACCTCAGAATTGAGTTTAAATAGGTTTTTAGAAGCTCAACACTTTTGTTTTTTGAGACAGGGTCTCATTATGTAGTTGAGAGACTGACCTGGAATTCACTGTGTAGCCCAGGCTGGTCTCGAACTCACAACAATCCTCCTGCCTCAGCCTCCCAAGTGCTGGGATTACAGGTGTGCCCCACCACGCCCAGCACTCAACACTGTCTTTGAAACCATGTTGGGCAACTTCTCCAAAGATGCCTACAGATCTGCCTTCCATGGGAAAATCTAGGGCTGCTACCCTCATTTTAGTGAGAGTGGCTTGAATTCTATCAATTTCTTGGAAAATTTCATTTGGAGGAAAAGAGCCCCAGAGATAACATGAAAAAAGCATAAAAACCATAGAATATGTCAAGGCTGTGACCCATGATCATGACCTCCATCACACTGCCTGTATGGAAGCAAGTTTAAGGCTGTGAACACTTGTGAAACTTAGGAGATTTCACCTGCTACAAGCTAACAAGTTCTGCCATTTTCAGGATACTAGTGAAAATTGGTAGAGGCTCAGCATTTTTATGCTGTAACTGAGTGCCAGTTTCTGCACAGTATTTGCAGAGGAACAAAAGTGCTTGTACATGCAGTGGGTTGCTTTACAGGAAAGGAATTCTGACTTCCTAGGACCAGAACCTTTTATAATAAACAATAAGTCTTCCTGGGCCTAGCCCCAGAGGGAAACACTATCCCCACCTCTCCAGACTGTGTATTATTTGAAAAGAAAATTCAGAGGGAAAGAAGGGCAGTGATTCTGCTCACAGGATGTGCAGAATTGGATACCCGTGAAGAACTGTCTATAAATGGGGAGGGGTAAAGGAGTGGATAAGGTTAGGCTTGCTCAGATCTTCCGAGGAAAATGAGCTTCCCAGAATGGAAGAACTAGAGGCAGAGAGAAAGAAAAAAGTCTTACAAAGGAACAAATAAGCATTCCTAGTTGTTTAGGAGCTTGACCCAACTTTAAATCTTAGTGCAATAGACAACCACAGTTTTCCTTGAAGGTTTTTAGTTTCTTATTTCTTTACGTTAATTCTTTCTTCCTAACACCTGCAGAGACATGAAAGCAGGCCAAAGCCTTGTAGCTAACTCTTCCAACCAAGTTGGATACAAGTGGAAGTCCCAAGTAAATGTGCCCATCAAAATTATACTGTTAAGTTCCTTGATTCTCTATGTTGCCACCTCCTGACCCTCAGTTGCAAGTGACCCACAGTCTCTGGAGCTAAGGCTAAGGGTCAGAAGTGAGTTAGAAAGTTTTCTTTCACTCAGTGGGAAGCTGGAGCAACTCAATGCCTGGTCGACTTCAATCTTAAAGGCCACACACACAGCACGATTTCAATGTGAGGCTTAGAACTTGATTCTGGGTTAAACTTTAGACTCTTTACGGCCCCACTAAATGAAGCAATAAATCCTTTGTTTGCTTAGTTACTGTGTACCAAACATCACTGATTCTTCTACTATTATTTCATTTAATCTTATTAAGCATTGATATGCTACTAACCTAAAAAATCATGGGAAGTGCATAGGCCATTACATGTATATCTTTAATCAGCCAATGATTAAAACCAAAGAAGTATTGTTTTTAAACTATTTATTCAGCTTTTTTGCACCAATGAGTCCTAAATCCCTAGCCCTATTCTTTTTATCTACTTAAGGAGATCTGTCTTGACAACAGTTTGATACTAGCATAGAGCATATTTCCCAGAGAAAGAATTGCCTTTTACTGAGTGAAATGTGCCAATGAGCCATTTTGGCTGCGTAAAAATTTCCCTCCAATAAGTGGGCTTGAAGTGAGAAAAATATCTACACTCAAGCATCACAAAACAACATTCTCACCACAT